GAGAGAGAGAGAGAGAGAGAGAGAGAGAGAGAATGGAGGTATTTTTAAATTTTCCATATTGATATGCTGACATACATTGCTGAACACGTTTCTCTCATTTTGATACTCACGCCTTTGTGATGTCCAAATATCTTTGAAGAGAATGTAATGTAGACTTGAGTGACTAATTTACATTCCTTTGCATTCCTCTTTCGCAACAAAGAAAATAGAAGCAACTTCAAGAGAACGCATTTTACTTGGAAGAAGCTGGCGCTTCCAGATTAATGTTACCAGTTTATTTCCTCAACTTTTCTTTCATATACATGCGCTTAAAAAAAACCCTTTAAAAAACCCCAGACAAACCGGAAAACAAATGGGACTTGACACACTACTCTGGAAATTGTTAACGTGATAGCTCAGGTACAAGTATGGAACCAAACAGAAACTACTGCTGCCCAAGGGTATCTTTTGTCAGCGCTGTCGTAAACTCTATTTTCAAACTGAAGAATAGTGTAGTGTTACGGCAGTTCAGTATGCGTGGACAGCACAATGTTATCGAAATTAGCAGAAGTGAGATGAGCAGCACGGACTAGATTACCTAATCTATACTGCACTGGAGATGGGTAAAGAGAAAGTCGTGAAGGCTAACAAAGATTACAGACGTTTTGAAGTTTTTTTTGAACGATGTTTGAGTTAGGTATAATAATCGAGAAGACCACCCTCCAACTATCAATCTCGTTTCCTCTTATGTTAAAAAGGTCCTTTGATGCGGCGGATTAAGACTTGCAAGTAAACATCTTCAGATTGCCGAATAGGATGGAAGGCGCCGTTTACAGATTGCCGTTTTGCTGCTTTGTCGTTAAATCGAGATGAAGTTTCTCCTATGGGGACCAACATAAAACGATAGCCATGTTTAGTAAGCCCTTGTTTGGTTGTCTTATGTGGAGATGAAGACGATAGGGTTATCGTTGTCTGGAGAGAGGGATCTGTGAGGTGATAAGGGAGGAGCATCGTGGAGCATCATTGCAGCTGATAACATGGAATATTGAGTTGGAGTAGCGTGACCGAAGGAGTAATCAGGGGGATTGATGTGTATGGCAAGCAAGTTGGAATTCATGGGATTGAAAAATATTCATCATCATCATCATCAATGCCTTTCACCCCTGGCAGGGTATAGGCCACATACAAGCTCCTTCCATTTATCTCTGTCCTGAGCCATCCTTCCAAGCTCGTTCCAAGTGAGCTTCATTTCTCTCATGTCCCTTTTCACGCACCTCCTCCATGTTTCCCGTGGCCTACCCCTGCCTCGTGCTCCTTGTGGGTTCCACTGCAGTGACTGTCTTGTGATGTTTTCGCTGGGCTTTCTTTAGGTGTGTCCCATATCGCCACTTTCTTAGTCCTATTTCTACTGCATCCAAGTTGGGGTTGAGTCACGAGGCTAACAACTTCTCTCGTAAAGAAAACCTGTTACAGAAACACGTACAAGCAGAAAAATATTGGGGATGTTAATTAATACTATGATTCCTGATAAACTATAAGTGACCACCAATAAAGAAGAAAAATAAAGAATAGCTAAAAGCAAACGGAATATCCCCCCCCCCCCCCAACCTCTTTTAGAGGCTGTCATCGAGCTATATATTCTGCTGAAAAATTTAAAAAACTTGAACTGCAGTAGATAGAAAAGTCCGGAATGCGGCAATCCATAACGTAATTCCGGAATAATAAATAATAATAATAATATATAATAAAAAAATAAATTACACTTTTATTTGTCCCAGAAGGGCACTTTGTTTTACAATGGCAAACATACATACATACATAAATACATAATTATAAATACGTACATACATAAACACGTACATTATTACACAAATACAGAACAGTTTACAAACAATGCCACTGTCGGTCGCCACTGTGCAGCGCTCTGTGATTTGAGCAAGGGTTGTCTTGTTTTGCTCAAGGACACACTCCAGTGACCACCCATCTGATCCCCGTGTCACCGACACTTGCTTGACATTACTTGAGTCTAAACTCACTACTTACTCAGCCACTGGAGCCCCCTAATGCAGAAATCCGTAACGTCTTGATGTTAATCAAGACCCAAATCCAGCCGTGTCCATTCTACCCACCACAAGGCCGACATACGAGGTCGCGACACCGGGAACGTGGTAACCCGCAGGCCACGGACTCAGACATTGGCATCTCGGGTATGCCATTTATTTTAATTAGCAGAATCCTCGTTCATCCTTGTCCACGCCATTAACCTATTTTGGGCCTTAACCGTAAACTGGCGAAAACTTGCTTCTGGTATGTTGGCTATTAATACTTACGCAACGTAGGATCTGACCTCTGGCCACACGTTTATTCAATTTACATTCCAGCTACTCTTTTTTTTGGCAGTGTTTGACTTGGATGATTTTCATGGTTTTCATATTTATTTTTCATAACCATTTGTGAGGCAGCGTGGTGGAATCAGGCTCTCGTCAATTTTTGGGCATGTAGAGTTATTGGTATCATCTTAAAGCTTGTTCTTTTGTCTTTATTTGGATGAAAAAAGTATCCATTTATCTGGAATACAAGTCGAGATATTTGCGAAAGAAGGAGGAGGGGGTCACTTGTTTTCAGGGGTAAAATTAATGAGAAAATAGCCGCCAAAGATTAGTTATTTCCTTAGCTTAAGAGTCCG